GCTTCCAAGTTCTCTTCTCAATTCTACACGGAGAAAAAAAAGAATGTTCATTAACCCAGAGAAATATTTGATTAATTCAAAGAATAATTATTTCACTCAAATGAACTCGAATAAATAGCATGCAACGTTTCTTCGGGATTGCGACAATTTACTTGAGTTTATTTCAGTCAAATAGTTATTCTTTGAATTAACAAAATATTTCTTCGGTTCAATGAATTTATTGATACATTCAAGAGGCTCATATTTGCATAATTTGAATATTAAATACATAAGAGAATACGATATAAATCCTTCCTCTCTTTTTCGAAGAATATTTCCAACAAACGTACACTGGGTCTCTATAGGTTACGCAAGGGGTACAATCCCATTTCTTTATTTGCCATTTAACAATAAGAGCAATTTAAAGTAGAACATACTAGGCTAGCATGGAAATGCCATATAGATTCAGCAATTCGGTACTGTCACTAACGATCCGCATAATTCCCGTGCGGTGAACAAAACTACTCATGGCTGTCGGCTGACATCAAAGCGACCGCAACCACTGAAAAATGTATCACCCTGGTTCGTTGGTATTATCCGATATTGATTAACCTTTCTCAGTGACAGGACTCGCTAGCAACCGTGCACGTTGCAATCTGCATCGATTGCATATCGGGCGGCTCGTTACAGGGGACTTTTGAAAAACTCCCGTAGGCAAACCGCACGCGGCCCCGACGCGGACCGTTTCGCCGGCAATGTAAAGGAAAAATAATTGGACACGAAAGGGCCCGGACTTTTAATTACGCGGGCTTATTTAATTCCCCCGGTTTATTAAGTGCCTTGTCAGGAATAATTGTATCCCGCGCTAGTGTCCCTTGACTCGGAGTAAATAGATTTTAATTACGCCAACCGAGTCTCTTAATAAACCTCACGCGATGGCCCGGCATAAGGAAAGCTCGTTCCCATGGTCCATAGATTCCTGCTCACTTCTCGTCTCGCTTCTTTGTCCCTTTTCGTATCCCGCGAGAAATATGGAACCGGGCCCGAACATCGTTTAATTTCATTTAGTCAAGTCAGTGGATTCTCCCCCAGTCAGCCCGCTGAAGGAAATGATTAAACCGCGGGTAAAGGCTCTTAGGAAAATGCACGAACCCGATTACGGTCCTCTGTGCATGCACTTAGGTTTCATTATACGTACGCGAACTCCACGTTAACAGTCCTTCCTTCCACTTCACGTCTTCGGCCATTTACTTTCGTTTATATGAACACATACAGCCACGAATAACCATCCCCGTTGAATTATAAAATCCATTCGCCGTTCCGAATAAATTTATTTACTCGCCCCGCGATTCTTATTATCCATTCATGGTGAATTTCGCCCCCGTGAATTCATGGACCTCTCAGTCAATTGCAATATTTAATCGCCCGTCGGTGCGTTATCGCACCAATTATTCGATCAATAATTCAGTTAGATCGCCGAGAGGGAATGAATTTTTCAGCTCGTCGGTTGACTTACTCGTCGCTCCAAATGCGCGAAACCGCCGAGGTCATCGCAATATGGCGCCCGGCAATAATTCACGTCGTTTACAAGGGGAGCAAAGAAAGGTATTACCACGTTACTGTAAACAGGGCCACGTTAAGTATTAACGCGCCACCTCTGTAGTAAGGTCAACGCTCTGGTCATTCGATCGTTTCCTACAGTTCCTTCGCGTTAACGACCTCTCTACGTTTCCCCATCAAGCAATATGGCCGATTTCGCAACACACATTTGAGGTAAGACCGCCTCGATTTTCAGATACATTACATTACTCATTGCACAGTAAACCTGGCCCCCGACACGCCATAACCACGAAAGGATTTTCCCGTGAAAGGATATATTTCTCTCACTAAGCGAACTTTTGTTAATTTCCCTCCAACCAATTTCGACGTTCTGTAAATGTGTCAGGTTTAAAAGGAAAATAAAAATATATATAGTACCGTGGTATGTTCTTTAATCGCGGTCATTTATATCCCTGGTTTACATCCCCGATTCGGAAGCAACAGATTTTTATTACACCGAAAGCGCATTTAAATCCAGATGTAATAAACCACGAATTAATTCGTAGCGGTTATGTATATTTAGGCGGTGAATCGAGGGAAATGCATGCCTCGCTGTTTAAAATGCAGAGGCTGTTGTAAAGTAATTCATTCCGGGTTATATGATAGTAAATAATTATGAACGTCCGGGCAAGCGAGAGTAGATGTATTCGATTATTTAAAATATAATGGGTTGAAATATTCATTCATTAGCCGCGGCCGGAGCTGATTTTACAAGCTCGTTGCTAAATCATTTCGGTTCCATCGAGGCCTGCTTTCTCGAGTCGATTTATTTACGGATATCCTTGCTTAACATTTTACAGAAATGCCTTCGAAAAATGTAGCGAGAGGACATTTTAAGTTCTTTTGTAGGAAACACCGGCGAGCTCTGAAATTAGCGCCGCAGGGAAAATCGAAAAACGAGGTCGACGAGTCTAGAGATATTGACCTGGCTGACTTGAATCTGGTGATTTTTCCTAGGATCAACGCGTCCCCTGTATTAATGACCCAGTGCCCAAAGGATTATCCCCAAAGGGTTCTCCAACGGAAGGTGTCCAGTCGATCGCAATTTCCAAGGATATTCCCATTACCATTACCATGCCCCTTTTTGGTCATTAAAATTCCCTCGGAATTAGAAATGGAGTTTACGGGAATTTATTCGATTTTGAACATACTCGTTACAAGGACTGCAAATGCTATTTCAAAATTCTGAAATAGAGATACCCTGGATAAACCGACTCTCGCAATCAGGCTCGAGTTACGCCATGAAACAATATCCTTATTTCAGCGGTCCGGAACCCAACCGTTCGAAAAATATCCTTTTTCTTCCTACTTAACTAATAACTGCCTTATTACCTTAATCACGTTACTAAAGTTGGCCTCTCTTATCCTGGCGAACGTTTAGTGATTTATCTGTGATGTCAATTTAAATTGTATTTCCCCAGTTCAATTGTAATTGTATATACATGGTACAAAACAAAATAAATATGTTTCAATTGCTACATGTAATGCCAATTCGCCTTTCACGCGAGATCGTGACACAAATTGATTTTTTTAACATCGTTCACATTTTTATTCGCAGTCAATTATTCGGAGGGTAGATGCCAGACATTTTCGTCTTTCCTTGAGAAAGCCAATATGGCGATTCAAACTAATCGTCGAAATCGAAAAGCTCATTCGAAATCGCCTGCTCAAGGTAATATCCGATAAAAGCGGCATCCGATACGTGGCCATAAAGGCAGCGCGTTGTAAACCGCGAAGCCGCACGCGGAAAGCTCTCCCTACGCAAGATACGAGTCGCGCCTTTACGTTCCCCAGGGTCTACAAAGTAAGTTATTTAACCGGTAACAGCCCAAGTAAATAGGAAACTGTCGGGCATAAACCTCCGATCGGCTTTCTTCCGTCGTTTCAACCGGTTAGACAGCTGCTCTCTCACCTCACGATGAGATTCGAGCATAAAACCGGAGAAAAAGTGGCGCAATTAATGCCAGGAACACTGAAACTTCCTTACAAATACGTACACATAATATTTCTAATTTACAGTATAAACGGTAATTTTTTTTCAACAAGAAACGGATTTTTCTAATACCTCTAATCATGGCAAAACTTCTTAAGAATTGACTATTAATGACAATTTTTAAGACTAATCGCGGATTTCATTACTATTGGTATATACCTATATAACGTGTGGGCTCGATGCCTCCTCACGTTACGGGGAATCAGGTCCATCGGAGGATGGGTCTGGTCCCCCGCACCCTATATTAAACATATATGAGACGGAGGGGGCCTTCCGATTACCTCTCAGAGTTCGATGTTACCGTCCACTACCTAAGGAAAAATCCCACATGTCCTGTCAATGCTACGTAGGGCCAGGTGGGCTATGTGGAATGGGTTGAAATTGGCATCGGGACCTCTCCATTACCTTTCTCTCTTTTCAAAGGACACCTCTCCAATATCGAACCTAAGAGATATTGGGGGGAAGGCCAACCAGGCAAAATTAATAACAATTCAGAAAAAAAGAGTATTTTAAGGACAGAAGTTACCTGGTAGTACGGTTGGGCCAAGTCGGGCGGCATCGGGGCCTAACCTCAAAAGGGCCTTCGAGGATCGGAATGGCACACCTTTGGAGAAACCGACACCGGTGTGGAGATCGCAGGTGAGGAGTTCCAAAGGGCACTCGCGATTTCTTGCCCACCACCGAGAACCTGTCACCGACCCAGAAATCAGGGGCGCCAGTTGACTGGTGAGGTTATGTCTCCCGGAGCGGGCACTTGGATGCCCGGGAGCCGTAGAGTTCGAAAATTCTCGGTAACATTAAATTGGAGAAGGTAACTGTGAAACATACCGTAAGTTACCGGAAACATTGAGAATTCAAGAGAACGTTAATTTTGTTATTTATACTTTAGGTTTCTTCGTTTAAATAACTTTTTTTGTTTTGCAATCAACTTCAAAGTTCAACCTAAAGAGTAATAATTTTTATTAGAAAATATTGATTATAGGGTCGTATTTACCTCCAGCTAAAAATATTCACGTATGTACAACTTCACGGAAAATTACATGCGATTTTAAATAATGTTAATGTTTAGTATGAACGATATCTATTAAATATCCATTCTCATGGTCATCCATTCTCCCTGGCCTGTTAGGATAAAATGGTTCCTCGTAAAAACTTTTCCATCTCAATTAAACATTGAATATTTTTGGAATACCATATGCATACAATGGCGATAAGTAATCGGGTAAACGTTTGAGTAGAAATCCCCACGTCGGCCATTTCTCACGGAAACGGTCCCTGTCCGTTCCCTCGAAGGAATGACATCCTTTCGGGATGTAAGTGTCGTCGGTAAATCCTCCCTCCGCGATCTCTCCGGTCAGGGCCGAGACTTGCGGCTTGTTAGCCGACTCGGCACGGCGAAAGCTCACCGAATGGAAATCCTGATTTTCAGAGCCCTGCGAGAAGACATTTTGTGCCTGGGGGGCCTCCTGCGTGGTCTCGGAAAATGGTCGAGCCCTGTGCCAGTGTCCCGTAAATTGTCCAGCCAATCACGAGCCGGTTTGCGGATCCGACAACGTGACCTACACCAATCACTGCCATTTGCGACAGGCTAGTTGCCAGCACCGGAAAACCTTCAGGGTGAAGCATCAGGGAGCTTGCGGTGAGTTTTTCTGAAAGCAGCACTTCCCGACGTCCTTCAAATTCTCCTGAACATTTATCTATCTTCCGCTCGGAAAAAATTCTCCAATTTATCGATCGACTCGCGGATACGGTTCCCCTTGGCTCTGCACTGTTAAAAAAAAATATATTATAATTTTATAACATCTTTGTTGGAAGTTTCATTCGGGCATGGTGTACTATTTTTATAACATATTTTAAAAAATATAATGTACAAGATATATTATAAATTTAGTACGTATGTGTAAGAAATTTGTGTTGATCGGTACTTGATATTAAATGTTTTTCTTTTTCTGCAAACAAATAAATTTCACATATGTTCTGGGCACGTGCGAGTACGATTTTGTAGACAGCCCTATCTTAAACGCCGAGAACAATTTGTTTGCAATTATCGTAATATCGAACCCTAAACTCTCGGAAAAGTAGTAGGTACGTTGTCTACGATGCTACCGGAGTTTTCTATTGATTGTAAGCATTTTTTTAAATATTATTTAAATATTTCTCGGACCCAAAAATGTCGCTACGACGCTTCTCCCCCAGTACCACCGATACCTGTCATCTCTCGATTAAATTTGTTTAAAAATAAACTTACGTAAACGAGGATAAAATTAAAAACTCATATAAAACAAAATTTGCTAACAATGCTTACTGAATGACTTTCGAATATCAAATTTATGATATTTCTTCGCAATTTCACAAACTTACAACACGGTGTTAGAAAATTGTAAATTCACTTAGAATTTCATGGTAAATTTGTGTGAATTCACTGTTAAGACATCAAGTTTATAATTTTACTGCAACCTTATGTAGTAAAAGTGTATGAATTTTATGAATATTTTTTAACAGTGTAGGACGAGGAAGTCGAGTTTGCAGAAAAATCGAACCTTGAGGAAATATCAGTTTCCTGCTTCTGCAATTCATAAACATGTCCGCGAAGGGCGAAGGATTGCGCCGGGAGGAAGTGGGTTTCCGGGAGACATAAAAATGAAACGAAAATCCTTTTTTTTTTCCTTCCTTTATTTCCTATCCATTTTTTTAAGAATGTACTCTCGCTCGAGAAGGAAAATGATGTCGCGCGAATGTATGGCGACGAAAGTCGCGAAAGATGGCGATGGCAGAAAGAAAAGTAGAGGCCCCTGTAATATCCGGTATTGACGTCATGGGCATCTACTATGGCGGCTGTAACGAGGAATAGTGGAGGATGAAGAGTAAATTGCGTGGAAAAAAAAGAAGATTCCCCAGACGGGCGCTGGTAATTCGCGAGTGAACGCAGATCTTGATGTCGATCGAGGGTAGAAAATTTCTGGAAGATGCAAAAAATGAAACGGCAAGGGAATTCACGTGGCACTATTTAATGTGCGGGGAGAGTTCAAGAAGTAGATAGGAGTAAGGGTTGCAGGAAATGAGGGAAAAGAGGAAAGAGAGGAAGGATACCCTGCAGATGCAAAATTCCTGAAATGCAGGGGTGGTTCGCGGACCGCACGGCTGATATCTCACCAGAGTGTAGAGGTTTCCATCCCTCCTTCTTTCCTTTCTTTTTTTTTCACAATCCCACACACCCTCCGGAGAGGATCTAGCCTATGAATTAACCAATACGCTCTACGCTCCGGGAGATTTGCTTGAAAGATCTCATCGGCGGGACGGGCCCGCCATTCTTAAGGGGGATGTTTTATTCAGGGGTGCGTTCTGTCTCTGCCTTGCCGAACGGCGTGCACGAGAGTCTGCGGGACGACTAAAATTTATCTATAAAATGTAATTATTAATTCCGCGCCAATCTAAACGAATTGCCAGGACAGGGGACGACCGATTGCAGAAAATAAAATTCACGTGGAAGGAAATTTCAAGCCGTCAAGTTTTATTCCGAAATTATGAAGAAACTTATACGTGTCGCGGAAATCTCGGCGTCATCATGCGTAATCCGAAAGGTAACAAGGACCGCTCGGTCACTTCCCGTGGCATAAATCCGACGTCTCTTGAGGAGAGAACGTGGAGGTGGAGGGATGAGGAAGGAGGTTCCTATTAGTACCGGAGAGAAGGAAAGAGCGAAGGGGGAGAGACATCTCCAGTCGAATCCCCTCTCAGAAATGGCGGCGGCCGGTGGCCCGACGATCGGGGATATGAAATTTCAAGAGGGACGTCCGTTTGTCTACCGTTGATTGTCATTTGCCTCGGTACGCGGCAGCGCCGCTACCGTTTTGTCCCTGGACAAAAGGCGATCTGCGGAGATTTCCTCTGTACCTCTCTTTCACCCTGGTCGCGGCGGGTTCTCTCTTCCCCCGTTTATTTATTCCCCTCTGTCTCCCCACCGAGCCGATTGACTCCTCGCTCGTCTCAGTTCTCTCCGTCTCTTTTTCTCTCCATTTATCTCCTGTTTCGCTGTTTCGCTCCCCTCGGCCTGGCGCCGCCTTTTCTCCCTCTCCCTCTCGTTCTCGTTGTCTCTCCTCTTTTGCCTCCTCTCCCTTCCTCTCGGATAGGAGAGCTTTTCACGAACGACCGCCTCGTGGGAACGAAGGCCTTTCCCACCGTTTCACTTTTGATCCGTCCACCTCGCGCTGGCGTCCACGCGGACACCCACCACCCACCACCCACCTGCCGGGCAATGGAGTACGCGAGCACCACCCTCTGCTAGAACGGGTGTGCGTTAATTATTATCACGGCAAACAATACGAAATGAGCCATCCTGACTAAGCGGATATACTCCGGGACTTCGTATCTTATCGATGCGTTATCACTCGAATACCAGGGTACAAGCTGACGCGTTGATTAAACCGTGATTTATTTTAATTTATTTAAGAAAACTTTTCCCCGAGCTGGGTGTACCGAATCGTTTCGACCTTTACAACATGAATATGGATGCTATAAGGAAACTCCTAACCCCCATGAATTTTCATTTTTATATGACAAATTTAAAAGATACCTTTAAACAAACTATAAAAAATTGAAATTTCATAAATGTTAAGACCTGCCTTGTAGCTTCCATATTTACATTGTAATGTTGGAAAAGATTTGGTCCACCCAGTTCATAAATGAGTTTTACAAGCGCGACCTCTTCTACGCCACTTTCACGCCACCTTACTTGTTATATTTAATGTTATTTTTCTTTTCTTTTTTCCTTGTGACTGTTACAATTTGTCAAGATGGAAAGAATGTTTCTCGGTGTAAATTGCGTGTTTAACTCGCTCCAAGGCTCGCGGGAACCAGGGCGAGAAATTTCGCTGAACGTGCGGCTGCTCTTAGGGGTTTCGTTTAGGGAGGCGTACCTTTTGCAATTTGAGTTTTTCGAGCGGGAAGGGTAAATTAGTACGGAAATCAGGCTGGCATGGCACGAGTGGGCGCAGGAAATTCAAAATCTCGTAAGCCAAGCAGCCACTTGTCGTGTCCGCCTTTCTCAGGATCACTCGAGACGTTCTGGAGACGCCTCCCCCCGTCCCTGTTCTGCCGTCCTCTTTCGCCCGGGCTTTTCCGAGGTTTTCCGAAAGTACTAAATTCTCCCTCGGCCTCTCTACGGCTTCTTGTCACTTTCTCGTAGATTTCCCGCACTGACAGAACAATTTATGTCGAGCCTCATTTTAATTCAATGGCCGGAACTTTTCTGGCTCGACGTGCTACGTTCGCCGTATATTCACCCCCCCTACCCCGGGATGTATAGCGCAATTCAGCGGCTTTGGTCAAAATAAAATGCGAAAGGGGGTAAAATACGAGCTTTCCGGCAAGTGTTCATTTAGCCGTAGCTCCCGGGGATCTTTCTTAATCCTGAGACCCGCTACGCGGCGAAACAAATTTCTTCCTGGCACGCGCGATCTGTCTGGGAGGTGCGTCGACGTCGCTGATTAAATATTCATGAAACCTGCATAAACGTAATAAAATGGTGTCACTTCCATTTAAGGACGGAAGCATTGTCGCTATTCGTATTTCGCACGTCTTGAAACATAATGGGCACATCCTGTAAGGTACTTACGCGACCTGGAATGAACTGTTTCTTAGGTACGAAGAGTTCCCGATATTCAAGTTTTCCTGGGCTAAGTAGGCTATTTTCATCCTTTATTTTGGTTTTTTTCAATGAGTCCCGAAGTACGGGTCGAAAGTAATGCAAGGGGTATGGAAATTTAGACTGGCAGGGAAGTAGAACGAAAAATTATTCTACGGCGCAATATGGCGACATTGAGCCACTCTACTTTTTCCTCTCTTCTTCTTCCACTCTATGTACTCTATCGTGTACTCTATGGTCCAAAACGTTCGAGGCCCCTTTTTCTCGAACTTCCCTTTAGGGCGTTCCTGCAATTAGGCGCCCTCGGAAGCCCTTAAATCCTCGACGACCCCCCGGGGGGATAAAATTAATTTCATTGGCCCGATGCGTGACTGCCGTCTTCCCTGGACGAGCGGGAGCCTCGTTTCTCTCTTGAGACGACTGCATAAACTTCATGCTCTATTTGCGTCCTCGTTTGCCCTCGAAGCTTGATTCCGAAGACGCGGCGATTTCCCACGAAATCGTCCCTTTAAGTGAGACATATCCGGGAAAGTCGAGGGGCACTGGGTCCCCTCCAGTTAACAAGTTGGAATTTTCCCATCTCGACTTCCGTAGTCTCTTCTCGCGTCATTACGACCAGGGGGGAGGGACTTTGTTGCAGCGGGTATTAAAACCGGAGCTTTCTCTTCCGGGCACTTTTTAACGGGGCTTCTTCGTCGACGGCTCGTTAATAAAGTGCCATTAACCCACTTTTGAGGGAGGCCGGTTCATTTTCTCGACCCTGTTCGGCCAAAAGTGAAGTTCGGGCACATCCGCTCGTTTAATTATGTCATCCCTCCCCCTGGGGACCGTTCTCACGCTCCTAACGGGGGAAGGGGTCAAAAAATTCACACGTTTTAATGGGGGGCTTCACGCGGGACGGAGCTCGTCAGAATTAGCCGGGAGGGAAAAAAATTAGCTTTAATCCTTATGGCGATGGACCTCGTTTCGCCACTTGCGAGGGAAGCGAGGGGGGT